AGAACATATCAGAGGCGTACGCAATCATTCCCAAGGGATGACCCCAAGCGGAAATCAACGCACGTGTTCCCGAGGGAGGACCCCAAAGCGGAACCAGAACATATCAGAGGCATACGCAGTCATTCCCAAGGGAGGACCCAAGCGGAAATCAACGCACGTGTTCCCGAGGGAGGACCCCAAAGCGGAACCAGAACATATCAGAGGCGTACGCAGTCATTCCCAAGGGAGGACCCCAAGCGGAATTCAACGCACGTGTTCCCGAGGGAGGACCCCAAAGCGGAACCAGAACATATCAGAGGCGTACGCAGTCATTCCCAAGGGAGGAGACCCCAAGCGGAAATCAACGCACGTGTTCCCGAGGGAGGACCCCAAAGCGAAACCAGAACATATCAAAGGCGTACACCATCAGTCCCGAGGGAGGACCCCAAAGCGAACATCCGGGTACTATACAATCAATGGCCAGATATTGTTACAGAAATCATATTACAGAAGTCATATCATAACAAAACATATCATATTAACACATATCAAAGTAAATACATCAAAACAAAACATATCATATTATCATATAGCTCTATATGAATGCATCTATATCATATATCTCATACATATCATACAACCTGACCACAGTCCGTACACTATGGCGGAACACAAAGTAGGAGCGAACCCCATAAACATAGAGCTTACCTCTTGGAGCTTTACAATTTGCTTACTTGAAGAACAAGCTACTTATCATGCTCCACGAGAATCCAAACGTTCACAGTCCCTAGGTACACCTAGAGAAGGAATTCAACACAAAACTCAATAAAATGATATAATGCCATGTAAATATACAAGACACACACTTTATTGTTTATTTTCTTTTTACTTAATCATATTAAGTCATGAGTGGGTGGTTCTTTGTTCAATAAATCCCCACAAAATTTCACATATTCACTTAGTCTTAGGATAGTCCCAACTTAAGGCAGAATGCCCATTACAATGGAGCTATAAGATTTCTCTTTGTCTAGTGCCTAAACCCAAGCTTAGCCACCTATATAAATTATTTTACGCATATAAGTGTTCTCACTTTGCGAAATAATATCTCCGAACATATACCTCCTTTGAAAATGGCTAAAACTCATTTTAAGGTCATACAAAGGAGCTACCTTATTTTCTTTTTTATTTCACCAAAGCGAAGGCCCATACACCTTAGAATATTATTCCACGCATAACAGTATGCTCGATTTGTAAAACAGTAACTCATAGTACATACTTCCTTTGTAAATAGCTAAGAGGCACATAAAGGAATTCATGCCAACTTCATGATTCCAATGCTTTAGTCCATCAAATTCAAGCTTATCACACACCTCTAATCCAAGATTCATTAATTCATATATATACGGTACTACGGTACTGTTCATCTCTACAATACTATTCATGTATACGTCACTATTCAAAACTATGATATCTTTAATTTTTCAGATACATTTTCACCATTAAAATTCTCATCTAAACACTTTTCTCAACATGAGCTAAACCTGAATCAAGCTCTAACATGCTCAATCAAACCAAATTTTCAAAATGAAACCATAAACTCAATCTTCATAAAAACATGAAAAGGAAGGGAATTTCTTACCACAATGCACTCTAAAACAAAGGATAGATGAGTATCTAAGCTCCCATGGCCTCAAGCTCCATCAAAATCCATCTTTTCCATGAAATTCGAAATCTTTGGAGGAGGAGATCTCTCTCTACAGTGAAACCCACCCAGAAATACTAGTACCAATGGATTCCTCTCGAAATTTCTCACAAGTTTGGCTTTGGAACGGAGTGATTTGGAGGTCTCTAGCTCTCTCTACGAATTTTGGAAGGTTTTTATTCAAAACCTCCATTTCTCTCATTTTGCTCTCTGTCCGACGACGAAGAAGAATGGGGAAACAGTGACTCACTACTCACTTAAGAGTGAGTTTATTTTACTAGTGGGTATAAGCTTATCTATCTATGCACCTCCATTTATTACCAAACTTCACCCAAAAGACTAGAATATTTTTCTAGTCACTTTTCTATATTTACTTTCACTTTTTGGATAACTTTATTTACCTGCATTTTTACCACTTAACTGTCATTTTAACTTTTTTTTTTTCACCAAAGGTGACTTTATTTCTTTTACTTCTAATTATTCTTCAATATTAAATCCACAATTACTAGTGAGGGTTATTATAGCCCCCGCCACGGGCTTCCCCTGGACCCGCTTGACATTGGAGTTTGAGGGAAAGAATTTCCCAATAGTGGTATCAGAGCCAAAGGTTTGGCTGGGCCGGGTATTTAGAGATGGTGATGTTTCAAGGCCTCCGCAGAAGGCTAGTGTGACTCCAATACGTAAAGAAAAAAGACTTCCGCAGAAGTTGCCCTTAAGGGGGAGCATAATGTTGGGTCTCATACTTGAGGGGAAGATGTTGGAAGTATTCAAGTATGAGTTATAAAGAAGTACCACATCGACTAGACATAGACCAAGTGATGACTATATAACTGCAAAAAGACCCATAAACCTACAGCCTTAAAGTTTTGGGTTAAAATGTGGTGTCGGCCCACTTATTGTGGTTTATCGCTTGGCCCATAGATGTATCTCTTGCAATGGATTTTGGGCTCCCCGTACCATTCTTAACAGCAGTAAGTTACAAACCAGTATTTCTTGAAATGAAAAACTCCTAATACTAGAACTACTCATAATTGCAGAATTTCAAAGCTTGCATGTGTTGGATCTTTGATATCTCTAGAAAGAAGCTTGTCAATTCCCTTTCTTCAAGAGTCAGAATACTAATACACCAAGTTTAACAAAATGTGCAAGAAGATTCTAAAGAAAAATTCTCTCTCAACTAAAAACGAAAATTAATAGACTTCAATGTGTATATCACACTCAGAAAACGCCTATTAACTAAAAAAAAAAAAACTAAAAATCATCCAAAGTACTACTGGATGTGCTTCTTTTTGTTCATCAAATGGTTCAGAATTGTTCCAGCCTTACATCTCACCCACATGGCCTTCTTTTTTTTCTTATCTGAAAGCAATGAGGTAAAATTTTGTAAGTAAAAATACAATTACTTTCATTATTTTACCTTTTCCTCAAATGGGCCATATTGGTTCTCTTTAGTCCCAATTACCAGTATTTTCAACACTCTACAGTCAAGATAAAACAGAAATCAGCCCATTAAATTAAGTACAATTCATTGCAAACATCAACTTATTTTTATGATTATTTCTTTAGAAAATCATCTTTTTTTTTTCTATTTTTGGTAAGTGAATAGTTATTCCCGTTACACAAAAAAAATATGCTCCAAATTTGAAAACAATTTTTTGTTGTTGTAAAAATGTAAAAATAAAGCTACATATGATTAATACTGATCCCTATCCTCTAGTTTGGATTGTACACCGGAAGTTGTCAATTTTGACTTTTTGTTGGCTATCTAATCTTATTTTTTGAAAAATAGTTATGTCATGCTTGAGTTTAATTACAGCATGACAACTAAAGAAAAAAGCAAACCACCCTCGTCCATGTGAAATTTACTCTGCTATTGCAGGTTGCATTAAGATGGATAATAGAGCAAGGTGTTACTCCAATAGTGAAGAGCTTCAACAAAGAGAGAATGAAAGAAAATATTAAAATATTTGATTGGAAGCTGAGCGATGTTGATTTGGAGAAAACCAATCAAATACCTCAATACAGGGCTTTCAAAGGAGAACGTTTTGTCTCTGAAAATGGACCTTACAAAACTATTGAAGATCTTTGGGAGTGACAAGACATGAATCTCTAGAATACTCTTTGCCTCCTTCCCTTTATATATTGAAGGAGAAAACTATGTATGTCAGTTCCTTTAAAAACTATACTTAAATAAACAAGTTTAATAAGAGAATAATTGTAACAAATCTATGATTTGTTACCTATATGTATGATTATATTTCTATGCAACTTAAACAATCTTTTTCCCATAAATTGCAACAATTATTTACTTAATTTATTCCTTAAAGTATATTTCTGATATGAAATTGATACGAATCCAATAATTAATAATAAGATCCTCAGAGAATAGGTATGCCGTATGTGTATATTGTTTTTTTCTCTTTAAGGATTACATGATCACCAGAGTACATCATGTTGCACTTAATTAGAAACTGAATATATATATATATATATATATATATATATATATATATATATATATATATATATATATATATATATATATATTCATCTCTTTTTAAATTATATTGTTTTATATATGAATTTAGTTTACATCAAAACGCATGAAGACAAAAACATATAGAAGTGGTGCCTTTTTCTCTCTTGGTATTTTAAAATTCGACATGTTCATCGCTTCGATTGAGGTACTAAGTCATTAGATCATTGACTCAACTAGTTTAATTAAATTTATATTAAATCATATAATAAATATATTGTAAGATATATTTTGACCAATAATTAAGAATAACCTAATGGTGGCAAGTGATAACACTACTCACTATCATTTGTCTTAAATTTATATTATATTATAAAATAAATATATTATAAGATATATTTTAACTAACAATTAAGGGTAGTCTAATGATAAGTGGTAACACTACTCACTCCCACAGGCTGAGTTCGATTCCCGACCACTCACAGCCTACGGGGGTGAGTAATGTTATCACTTATCACTAAACTCACCCAATAATTTGATAAAGTATTTAAATTTTAAATTAATATGAAAAAGTTGCCTTTTTATGTCACTACGGTCAAAATGCCTCGTTTTCAATCCTCTCTACGTGGCACATGCTTTGTCTAAGCAGCATAGTGCCTCATATTTTAAAGTACAATAATTGTCTATTATCAAGTGTGACTTGTGAGTTTCATTCCACATGCCACATAGCCTAGAATGTGGACCCATAATCTCAAACCAAATATCCCAACGAGTGGACACAACATAGGTACCCTCTTTACATTATCACTTTCCTTTGCATTATTTGAAATTAAAGCATCTTTAGGACAAACACTCACCATAGCACTTAACCACTTTAAAAGAGTTGTGCCTTCTATTCCTAGTTACATTTTTGTGGCAAAGTTACAGAAAAACAAAGAAAAAAAAAACATGGCAGGAAAGAAAATCCCAGATGTGTTGCTGAACTCTGGTCACAAAATGCCAGTTATTGGCATGGGAACTTCAGTGGAAAATCGTCCATCAAATGACACCCTTTCTTCTATCTTTGTTGATGCCATTGAAGTGGGTTACCGTCATTTTGATAGTGCTTCTGTTTATGGAACAGAGGAAGCTATAGGCCTAGCTGTGGCCAAAGCTATAGAACTTGGCCTTATAAAGAGTAGAGATGAAGTTTTCATCACTTCAAAGCCATGGAACACAGATGCACATCATGATCTTATTGTCCCAGCTCTCAAGACCACATTAAAGTAACTATAATCTCCTTTTCTCACTTTTTTTGTTGTTGTTGTTGTAGCCTTTTCTCACTTTGTTTCTAATGATCTTAATAGTGTGTTTTTGTTTTCCTTTTATTTATTGTTTTCTCAAAATTAATGTTGCTTAAATTTTTTGTATGTTCTACACGCTATTGTTTAGAAAGCTGAATATGGAGTATGTGGATCTTTATCTGATTCATTGGCCAGTGAGGCTGAGGCATGATCTTGAAAACCCAACAATTTTTTCCAAAGAAGATTTATTGCCCTTTGATATAGAAGGGACGTGGAAAGCCATGGAAGAGTGTTACAAGTTGGGCTTAGCAAAGTCTATTGGCATATGCAATTATGGTACCAAAAAACTCACCAAACTCCTTGAAATAGCCACAATCCCTCCTGCAGTTAATCAGGTATCATAATGTGATTAGTACCCAAAGAGATCTATTTGTTTTTGTACATTGTTATCATCATAGTTGTCTTGTGACTCTTGGCACTTATGGTTATGATGTTATATTATGGTTTTTAAGGTGGAAATGAACCCATCATGGCAGCAAGGGAAACTAAGGGAGTTCTGCAAACAGAAAGGGATTCATGTTAGTGCTTGGTCATCACTTGGAGCTTATAAGATATTTTGGGGTTCAGGAGCAGTCATGGAGAATCAAATCCTCCATGACATAGCAAAGGCAAAAGGGAAGACCATAGCTCAGGTAATTGAACATTATAAACAAGAAAAACTTCTTGTTCATCAATTGTGAGTTTCAATAATTTACACATTCTGAAAAAAATAAACAAATAATTATCAGAAGAAAAAGAAGCCACTGCTTATGGCTTAATCAATCAAACACTTTCAAACACTTTCAAATAGAAACACTCACGGATTCGAATATGGAAAACAAGTATTTTATAAATATGCAAGAATAAGAATGCGTATAAGGATGGTACTGGATTTAATGGGAAATGAATTTTTTTTTTTTTTAAGTTAATGTTCTTGCTACATTAATTCATGGCCATATTGTCATTCCAGGTTGCACTTAGATGGGTGTACCAACAAGGGTCAAGTGCCATGGCTAAGAGCTTCAATAAGGAGAGGATGAAACAGAACCTTGAAATATTTGATTTTGAGCTGAGTGAAGAAGAATTAGAGAAGATTAAACAGATTCCACAGCAAAGGCAATTCACAGGGGACATGTGGCTATCTGAAAATGGATCATGCAAGACCTTGGAAGAACTTTGGGATGGTGATGTTTGAAAATTTCTTCAAAAGTTCAAACTATATTATTGGATATTAATTAGGTAAATAAACTTTAAGATATGAATTCCATGTTATTAGCTTGTCTTATATTAATTAGGTAAATAAACTATATTATTGGATTAGCATTAGCAATCATGGTTGGCTCTGAATTCATATTTAGACCAAGCTAACCTTAGTACTTGCTTTACAAATGTCCTTGATTGAAACCTTGTGTAGCGAGTGATTTAGAGTTGAATAAGAGTATGACATTGATGTAGAGCATTGAGGTTTGGTGTTGCATGTGTCACTCAAATGTAACGTTTTGGTTATGTGGCTGCATTGTCATGCGCCACGCTTCAAAGGTGTGAAATCTCTGTGGCTCTGCCATATTCGTTCCAACTCCAAATAAAACAAAATACTCTTAATGCATATATGATACTGATACACAATGTCGGTTTCAAGCAAGAAATGGTAAACAATAGCTAGTAAATGAGATCACATAACTTTTTGGGTCTCAAGTGTTACTTCTTCTTCCTTTTTTAAGAAAAACATAATAAATAAATACCAAATATACATACATACATGCCTCTTGTCACTTGCCCTTCCATCCTTACCAACAAAAGCAGCAAGCATTGTTGCTGTCACCACCATATTGCACTAACATTCTATGGTAAGTGCTTATGAAATTTGCTTGGTTACTAGGGCTATTTGGAAAAGAACGAATGCATAATATTTCTAAAAAATATTGTTCCTTTGATAAAAAATACAAATATACATCATGAAATATATTTTACAAATCAACCAATTTTCTTGAAAACTCAGTCGGCAACCAAATTAGGGGACAAATAGTCCAGAATACAATAATAATAGCTTACGTGGGTCTTGAATTTTCATTTATGCAACCTAACACGTGGAACAATTGTTGGACATTTTTATTGAAAACTAGAGTCTCGAAGTTAACATGTTAAACAATTGTGGAAAGCTTGAGCGTTGAACCAATACAAGAGAACATGGAACCAAAGAGAGTTCCACATGTAGTACTAAATATCTGGGATAAGATGCCCATGATAGGCCTGGGAAGTGCAACAAGACCTCTTTCACTTCTTGAAACCCTCACCTCAATTTTGGTTGATGCCATTGACATTGGCTACAGATATTTTGACACTGCTGCTATTCTACGAAGCACCGATACTCCGAAATTTTATTTTCCAACGTATTGGATACACATATCGAAAACGTATTGTATCGTATCGACGAATTGACGGTCATATAGAGAATGTATTGGAAACGTATCGAAAATGCCGTGTCGAAACAATGCTTCATAGCTGTTATCTATGATTCCGAAGAACCTCTAGGCCAAGCTGTGTCAAAGGCTTTAGAGCAAGGCCTTATAAAGAATCGTGATGAAGTGTTCATTAATTCAAAGTTATTGAACGCTTATGCCCACCATGACCTTGTTCTCCCAGCTCTCAAGACCACACTCCAGCAAGCATATTTCTCTTGGGACAACCATCAAAATGCCACCTTTTGGCGAGAAAAAAAAAATGTCAAGTCTATTGGTGTTAGCAAATTTGGCATCACAGAGCTCACCCTACTCTTAGAAAATGCCACCATCTCTCAGCAGTTAATGAGGTATAAAAACTTAGCAATAGTTGATTCATTCTGGCACAGTGATGAAGTAAACTCATCGGTGATATGTCTCTTACTTGGCTTTAGGTGGAAATGAACCTATCATGGCATCAGGGGTGTACCGATGAGATCTATAAGCCCACTATGTTCCCGAAGGGGATGAGTCAATGTATGGATAATACCCTTAGCACTGATACAGACCAGGCTAAGAAGTATAAAGCCAAGCGTAAGCAGTGAATAGATAATAAGCAAATGGATGATATGACTAGAGTAAATGGGCAGTATAACGATACATAAGATACCTGTAAGGTGTGCCCATGGGGGCTATTTATAGGGGAAATGGTGTGGGTTGGTGAGGGGGAGGTCAACTCTCCTTGGGATTTACTCCCATGATGCAGTGTTAGGCGTGCTGGCGCTGTCATTGTGGCAGTGCTGCACCCTCTGTATTTTGGCGGTGTCAGCACCACACAAAAGGGGAGTTTCCCTTTGTTGTGTCTGTCGTAGTCGCCTTCGATGGTTAGCGTTCCAAGATGGGACATTTTGGAGTATGCCTTGGACCTGCTGCTACGTTGGGGGTTGAGGAGGTCCATGTCAGCCCTAAGGGCTGACGCGGGGTCACGCCCGATATTGGGCCTGGATAGTTGGGCCACTTTAGTACTTGGGCCATCCGGAACAAGGGGAAACCTAGAGAATTCTGGAAGCAGAAAGGAATCCATGTGAGTGCATGGTCATCACCAGGAGCATACAAAGTATTTTGGGGTTGGCCTACAGTGATGCTAGAAAGAAGGATGTAGTCTAGGTGCAGGTTATCATTACATTTGAAACTATTTTCAATTACAACTAAATATCTTTAGCCAATAAGGTTATGATGATGTTAACTAAACTTGATTACCATTTTGAAATAGCCAAGACTATTGGTCTTTCCATTGTTCCTAGATGTGCATAAAACAAGCTTTAGATTTTTTTTTTTTTTATATATCCTATTATCCTATTAGTCCAATTAGAGCATTGTCAGATCCATTACAGGGGACAATTCTCCCAAGACCATAAATCACATGGTTATCTCGAAGGACTTAAAACCCACCAATTCTTGGATTTTGTGTATTGAAAAAAAAAACATTGGCTATTGTAGTTCCCAATTCCAAGTAACAAAACAGGGCCTTTCTTTATAATCTTCATTGATACATTAAATTATGTCCATAGTTATCAAATGTGGCGGGTTGCGGTTATAGAAATAGCGGAATAGATATGTGACAAAAATAATGACAAAAAGAAACATTTTTTAAAGGCAGAGATAGCAGAAGTGAAAGAGAGACACAGATCGACTAAAAAACCCTTAAATTTTTTCAGTTACACATTTAAATTTAGGACAAAATTGACATTTTGTCTTATGATAGCAATATGGCCGCAAATGCGATCGCAATGGCCGCTATTGCGTTCCGGTGCGGCGCGGCGTGGTTTCTTGCGGAGAGGAAGCGCAATGCCCATACGGCGCTATTGCGGCGCAATTAACTACTATGATTATGTCTAGCATGTATTTAGACAAATTTAGCCAGAAATTGTGAAAATACTGAGATCGTTCTACATGAATATTATTTGCTCTGACATCATAAGTGTTACTATATTGAGATGACAATGCTATACTGAGAATCCATCTCCAAAATGGAGATTATTCAGATAGCACTAAGATGGTGATATCTTATGAGCAAGGTGCAAGTGCCATTGTGAAAAGCTTAAACAAGGAGAGGGTGAAACAACCTTGAAGGATTTGATTAGGAACTGGGACATGAGGAATCGGACAAAATCAGCAAGAGTGCAGAACACAGTCTGTACAAGGCAGAAGAAATGTTTCTACTGAAAATGGACCTTACAAGTCCTTGGAAGAGCTTTGGGACGGCGATCCCAGAACAAAATCTTGTTTAAATAATCAAATGCAGCATATGACTTGATTTTTTTTCATTTTTTCGTTTCTTTTCATACCTTCCACAAAATCATTGTTAATTTCCTAAATCTCATTCAAAAATTGTGAAGAATTAACTTAAGCTATTTAAAAAGGATAAATTAAGCAACTCAGGTGATGAAATTATCCTCCCCTTACAGTTTAGTCTCTAAATTTATTATGTGTATTATTTAATTTTTAAATATGAAACGCTTCTGTCAACTTAGTTTATTTTAATCCGTAAAAGGTATTTATTTAGTATAAATTCTATGTATGCATAATTAATTTAAAAAGTATAGTTGTGTCAGGGAGGTGAGGGAGTCCATGACGGGGAATCATTATTGATAGTCCTCAAGAGTTGAGGCCCATTAAGTGCAAATTGTTCCACAAAACCCATGTTTTGGTTATAAATCACGCCCTTTAACCTTCTTCTTTTCATATAGAGCAACTGTTTTGAATAGTGGACCAGAGCAATGCCGAAAGTGGGAATTAAGGTAGACCTGGAGCAAATTTAACATTATCTTTTTCACATATGACTATTGGGTTAGTTTGCTTTGTTCAGGACACATAAGGCCCATCAAAAGGAACCACAAAATGAAGAGAGAAGAAGGAGTGTTGAGCAGAAAGGAAAAAGAAGTCTGCTATAGTACAACAGCAGTCAAAAGAAGCCATGGGGAGCTGCCACGTCAGCTACAGCAGAGAAGGTGGAGGTGCTGCCTCTGCTACAGTACGAAAGCAAAGAAGCTGAGCAATGGGGAGCCGCCACGTCAGCTACAGCAGAAGGAGTGGAGGTGCCACCCTGAATCCGATACTCCTACTCACAAAGGGAGCCAAAAGCAAGGGGGACCACTTCCATTTAAGGCCAAGCTGGCAAGAAGCAAAGCTACCATTGGAGAGGATTTAGACAAAGCACGACCCTTGATGAAAGGAACAATGGAGATCAAATGAAGAACCCTATAAAAGGAACAAGCAATCCTCATAAAGAAGGGATCAGCACCCATCGTAGGACTTGTTGTCTCTTTGTTTTCTTATTTCTTTGTAAAAATGCTCACTAGGAGCTAACTTCCTCTAAGTAGGTGAGGGTTCCATAGAAGTCATCCCTTTTGTCTTAGGATAGCTTTGTAAGGAACACATATTTTATAAATGAATTTTGAGTTGTTCTTTGGTTTAATTTATTGATTTTGTGAAACCCTTTGGGCTGGCAACCTCATCCCGGGACCACTCGATTGATGAGACACTGACAAAGGCGTGTGGAGCATTCTCAAAATCCTGGGGTAGTTTAGCCTGAAGAAAGGAGGGAGAAACACCTGGAATGTGGAGCACTGCCATGTGAATCCATGCTCTTTTGAGAAGGCAGCATGGTTTCCTTGCATATAACTCCAAGTACTATGGAGTAATGTGGAGAGTAAGGCCTTACCCTCTGCTTACCTATAGCAAAACAAGGGAAAAAGCAAAATCCACCTGTAAAATATGCTACCAGGCAGGGTTAACCAAAGGGATGAAAACATGGAACCCGTAACACCTACTTGATCTTTTTCTTTCTGAAATTAATCTTAACTCAATTCCTATCACAACCTTTTCCTCACGATAACTGAACTGTGTTTTACTAGCTGATGCTCTTACTTTCATTCCGTTGACTGCTCTTAAAGTTACTTCAATTGATGCCTTTTTATTCGATGACCATGCTAAGTCATTCACTGCTCTCATCTGGTTCAGAATGGTTAACATTGTTTAACTAGCTGCCCAGAGATTGCTCTTTGTGAAGCTTAGCTGAGAATAGTGATTTCTTTTATTGCTCCATTTTACAAATTAAGTTTCCTTTAGCGCTTCTTACTTCACAACTGCTCCCTGAGGACGATAAAT